GTTAATTTTTAAAATGCTGCATGCCAATGTCACAATATCATGATATCATCAACGAAAATAATGTCACAATATTTTACACAATGTCACATGCAATGTCATAAAAACAATGTCATCACTTTTGACATTGTCACCACTTTACTATACAATTTTACTACTCAACAATGTCATCACAATGTTGTTTTGTAGCATTGAGATTGACATTGTTATCACCACGATGTCATTTTTAAATCATTGACATTGTAATTTTTGCAATGTCATTTTTTAAAAGCATTAATGTTGACATTGTAGTTGTCATTATTTGACATTGTTTCATTTTTCTTGATATTAAAATACATTGTTAACAATGTGTTTTCAACAACAACAAAGTAATTTTTATAGCATTGACATTTTTTAATAGCACTGCTGCACTGATATTATCGTTATTACAATATCATTTTGAAAACGTAATTTAATGTCATTGTTCAAAACAGTGCAATAAAATCCATCAAAATCAATTTGATAAGATAAATCAGCAAATTAAAATAAAATAGAAAAGCAAAAATAATAGTACTACTTAATTATTAAGAAAGTGGAAAGTAAAAACAATGCCGCGTGTCTAAAAAAAATGTCATTGTAAATATGCAAATGTAATTTCTGTAAAACAATGTTACTACTTGATTATGTTAAGATCACAGTGGCATAATATCACATTATCATCAACGAAAACACAGTCGCATTGTCGGGTAATTTTGCAATGATATCAACATTGTCACACTATTCATATGTTGATAAATGATATCAACAAACTGAAAGCAAAAAAATAAGGAATGTATTCTATTGTCATTGACATTTTTATGATATTGTCATTGACATTTTTATGACATTGACATTGACATTCTTATTACATTGTCATTAACATTCTTATGACATTGTCATTGACATTGTTTTTTATTAACATTCTTATGACATTGTCAATGACATTCTTATGACATTGTCATTGATATTGTTTTTTATTGACATTCTTATGACATTATCATTGACTTCTTATCACATTGTCATTGACTTCTTATCACATTGTCATATGCAAAGTGGCCTGCAAAATAGTTTCTCCATGAACAAGATTGAGCTTCCAGTAGAGTAGATGACGACGGATGGCCTGATAGCTTCCAGCGAATTAGAGCAAATAATGATGGCCTGTTATTGTCGCTGCTCTGGTTCCTCCGCTGCTGTCGTCGATGTCAATGCCATGCCGATGTTCCTCCGCTGCTGTCGCCCTGCCCACCAGTACGGCGACAGCTTGATGCAGACCAGCAGTAAAAGCAGAAGTGACTTGCGACCACCGAGCGACGACCTGTTGCAGAGCACTCCGGCGACGACATGTGACAGAGCACTCTAGCAACGACCTACGGCAGAGCACTCCGGCGACATCCAACGGAAGACCGGCAGTAGACACAAAGGATCTCGAATCGGCACCGAAGAGTACAATTTCTCTTGCCCAAAGGCCTCGATCTTCAGCAATTGGCTCTTCCAGGGAGAGGCATGACCGAATGGATTGTATGTTGGTTGCTGGGTAATAGTGCATACTCTTGTCTAAGGGTATTTTTGTCCCTTTGAGTCAAAAGTAGTCCTATTTAGGGTAAAAAAAGTGTTTGGTCTTATTTACGTTCATAGCACATCTTTTACTCCTATTGAAGTCTTTCTCCCCTCCCACTTTCATATTCTTTGTAATTGTGGTCCGCCACTGAAATTATTTGTAAGACTACGGTAATACATCTTGATATGTTGTGGGTAGCCTGAACTTGTGCACTCTATATGATATGAAATTATGAATATAATGTATTACGGTAATACTAAATTTAGTTGGTGTGTAATGGTAAATGATATGTTGGGCGTAATGGAAGACAATATTTAAGTGAAGCTCAAAGTTTTTAAATTTTAAGTACTCCACAATGCTTTTGAAACAAACTAGTACAGGAAAAAACATATTCTTGATTTTAAGTGAAGCTCAAAGTTTTTAAATGTTTGTGTGTCGACTTCTTTAATGAGTGAACATTACAGGACAGTCTGTTACCAAAATTAGAAGTAAAACTTAAATCTTATCTAAATACGAGTAAACAAATTTTCTACACTTAATATCCCTAATTAAATTCTTTTGGAACTAAGGCTCGAATGTGTGTTGTTGTTGTAATACTTCTAATCTAATTAATCAATTGCCCCTAGTTCCCTTGCATAAACAGGTCAGTCCGGTGGTGGCGGGACAATCTTGCGGCGGCAGTCGAGCTCCGGCGACTTATGTCAACTTCAGACTGATAACAAATTCATTCCGGACTGCCCCGCCACCAACAGACTGCCGTGATTATGAAAGGGATTTTGGGGAGCAATTAGTTATTAGATTAGAGATATTAACGGTAGAAAATTAATGTTTGCTCCTATTTAGGTAAGATTTAAGTTTTACTCCGATTTGTGCAATTATGTTTATGTTCGCTCCTATATAGGGCATGATAGTTTTTGTTTCTTTTTTTTTGTTTGCATTTCTTGTTGGAATGTAAAGTTCTCAATCCTCCTATGACACAAAACTTATTGCAAAATAATCACTACTAAACTTATTGGAAATATAGTTTGTGTATTAGTTGTAGGCTACTAGATATCGTTATTCTAATATTCTAAAATATTTGTACACTTGTTTAGTTTATGTTTTTGACTTAATTATGCAGTATGTATCTTATTTTTAATCTTTTTATAAGCATCACTTTTTGTAAGCATCAATTTTTGCTCGTGTGAGTCAGGTTTTGGGGGACATTTTGTTATTTTTGTTTGCTGGATTCGGGTGACCAAGTAGGTGGCGGTTATCTAATGTTTGTTTGATAGACAAGTATATCCTCTTGGTCTTCATAGGCTATTTGCCCGTTAAGTGATTATTATTGAATTATACATTTATTATAATGGGAATAACTTTATGTCTAATCCTATGTAAGCGGTGGTAATGTGATGGATTGTTTGAATTTTGTTGAGATGTCGATTTAACCTTTTGTTCTTCAAAAAATAATCTCTCTTGCATTTTACTCGGTCTAAGCAAATTGCATCAATCTTTTTTTTTTCAATTCTGCATCAAATTACAATCGATTTAGTAATTTGTTCATATTTTATTGATCAATCCAAAGATAGATGTAAAATTAAATTCAACATTGATCTTATTTGAAACTTGAGTGATAAGTTTTACGTGTTTCAAAGTCTCACTTGAAAAAGCATTTGAGAGCTATGATTGAAGGGTGTAAAGTTTATAATGTTCTATAAGGCATAGTAACTATATTTTTTTTATTATATTAAGGAAAATTTAGATATTTTAGTTAATTTAATAAATTAAATTTTATTTTAATTTAGAGGCTATGTATAATAAGATTTTAGGAGTTGTCAATAAAATTAAAAGAAATTGTTCTAAATAGGACTAAAACATGGTTAAAACTCCAAAACAGGACTTGAAGTTTTAAATTGCTTAAATGGGACTCCAGATTACATTTTTACCCTTAATCCCTTTTCCCCAATCTCTCTGCACCGATCGCGAGACCTGGGATTACAATTTCCCCTTGCGACTCAGCTTCCATGGACGCAACTCAACCGCCATCGATAGCAACTCGACCGACTTGCTATAATCGCAGGTGGCTGCTCGACGTCGACCGCCACCTCTGCAACGATCTCTCCATCAAAACCATGTATTCATCATCATCTTCTTCTCCTCCTCCATCTCCTTTTTCTTCTTCTCCTCCTTCTTTCTCCTTCTTGTTCTTCTTCTTCTTCTTCCCCCTATTTCTTTTATGTTTTGTGCTTCTTTTGAATTTCAGATTATGGCTTGTTTTAATAACTGTAACAACCGTAAATGTCATCTTTCTATTCCAAAATGTCAACTTTATTTTAACATCACAGCACACATGATGTCATTTTTAAAAAATTGACATGTTTATTTTTATGTCATTTAAGGATAGCTTGAAAATGACATGTTTTTCCTTATGCATAATGACACAATAATGACAATTTCGTATAGACACATGACATTCTCAATATGGCATTTCCAAATATTGTAATGACATAAAAGTGACATTTTGTAAAAATACCCAATAATTATGACATTCTCTTATTCAAAAAGTGACATTTTCTAGAATCATTAGTCAGGGCATTTTGAGATTCAAAGTACTAAAAATTGATAACATATATCTTCATTTGAAACTTTCAAGAATCAAAGTTTTATTTAAAATCTGATTAATAAAAAAAAAAAACAGAGAACTAGATGGAGGAAGAGGAAGCTAAGACGACGACGACGAAGAAGAAGAAGAAGAAGAAGAAGAAGAAGAAGAAGAAGAAGAAGAAGAAGAAGAAGAAGAAGAAGAAGAAGAAGAAGAAGAAGAAGAAGAAGAGATTACTTACCTCGTAGCTGATGAGTGCAGGACTACGTCAAACGCCGCTGTGGTGCGAGGGCACAATCGACGGCGGAGCTGTAATCCATGGTAGGAAATTATCGCAGCTTGCTCTGGAGAAATCACCGATGAATTGCAGAAGGCAGAGAGGTGGTTTTTTTTAATTAAGGGTAGTTTTGTCAGATTACCTCTTTTTAGTCCTATTTGTGTTAAATAAAACATAGTAGTCCTATTTTTACAATTCTACCTTATTTTAGTCCTATTTAGATAAATCTCTCTAAAATTAAATTATAAATAGGGATAATTCAACTAGCAGCCCCGAATTTTAATAAACAAAACAAATTGAAATGGCTATTTTATCCAAATCTAAGGGGTGTCCCTAATTTGGATCGTAAATGATTTTGTAATTCCATAAGGATCTAGGTATCCTCAAAATAGATTTGGAAAGACTGCTTTAAAATCCTACCATCCCAAACCATTCCATTAACTTTGATTTGGCCTGATTTCATATAATAAAAAAATAATGCTTAAACATTCTATGCATAATTTCACCTTCAAACCCCAGACTTCCACTTCGGGACTTCGCCGGCCTTCTCTCCAAACGCCAGAGTCCAGACCCCCACTTTGCTTCTGCGACTTCTTTCTTCCCCGCATCTGCAATTCCTCTTTCTGGTAGGTTCCTTTGCCGATTTCTCCTCTTCACGTATTCTTTGAATTTTTTGCCCTCTAATCTGTCAAAAGTGTCGAGCGCATTTTTGCCCTCTAATCTCCTCTTTTGTGAAGTTTTTTATTGATATAATTGAACTGATTCATATTTTTTCCCGTGTGTTTTTGCCTTGTCAATTTCTTCAATAATGTTAGCTCTCGGCCTCACGCTGGTACGTAGGGTATATTTCTGCAATCTCTTTGAACGAACTGCACTGTTGAGTTAAACACTACAAATAACTGAATGACATAAAGACTATTTAATTATGGGTGACGAAACGCCTAACTTGCTCTAATTAATTTTGTCTCCCATACTTTGGGTGGGTGACACTTTTAAGTTTTTTCTTGTGGCGCTCATACCCTTTAATCACATTGTGAGTTACAGCGTCTCTCAAGAAAATCACACCTCTTCTTAAAGGTCAAGTGAAGTGAGATTTGATGGGGAAGAAATCCAAAAACAAGAGATTGGCAGGCTCTTCATCTGGGGAAGCCCCTCCTTCCAAAAAACAGAAGATCTCCAGGCAAGCAGAGCCACAGCCAGAGCCCCAACCAATGTACGTCATTTAAGCTATTTCTTTTTCCTTTTTTCTGTTTAATTTCAAGCTTGTGCAATTCTAGTAATTAAAATTAGAATCATATGCAAATTGTCATCCTTTTTTCACAGCATGGTTGACTATGCACAAATGCCTCTGAATCACAAAAAGAAATTCTTCATTTATGATGATTGCGGGAGTATGCACAAATATATAGGGATTATAAGCTGGTTAAGGTCTATGGGATGCTTTAGTGGTACTGTGTTCCATGGGATCGAGAATCTTAATTGGGTTGATGGACAAGAGTATCCGTTAGTGGAAATAGAGGTTGAAACTCCAAGTGGCAACTCAGCCAAGTTCATTATTTCTAAGAATGATCTTTACGTGATTGCTTTTTATGCTCAGAGATGGTTTCAGTTTTCAAGATGTGGTTTTAAGATTAGTGATGGTGGTGGGGAAAACTTCACTAATCTAGGGAAATCTTTTACCGGGGCTTATACTAGTGAGCCATGACAATATGTTGGGCCTAAGCAAAATTCTGTGGATTTTCTTGCGTTGCAACCTGTCACTAAAGATATGTCGTTATTTGTCCAGTCATGTGAGGTTTTTTATGTTCATTTGTGTGAGGCTGCTAGATTGTGTCCGATTGAGTCACTGATATGCCAAACTCTAGCACCTCCTGTTGCTCCCCGGATGTTTAGCAAACGAACATTTGAGGATGAAGAGAAACTTCTTCTTGGAACCGGGATTGGTGTTGATGCTGATGTGTACTCTCTGGTTAAAGCGAATGGGCCGATAAACTTCAATGAAAATAAGCGGATTCCAGATTTCATTAGAGAGTTGATAAAAAAGTATAGCAACTTGTGTAAGGTCTGGTATTTGTATTCATTGACTGACAATAAGTGTTATGAGATGAGGCCTCAAGATGTTTTGAGATATCATATGAGATCCGTAAAGAGTCTGCGCTGCACTCTTGGTGTGTTGTGCAACACCAATTTAAACAAACTCTTAGAGGAATGGGAAAGAAAGTCTTTAACTCATCCGGTGGTCACCCGTGCTGTCTACAAGGAGATGGAAGGCCGAGTTCATGAGCTACAACAACAGGCCAAAGTTTTTGTGCCAAATGCCAAATAACCAATGATTTTGAAGCTTAGCTTTTGAGCTCTCTCGAGAGATTTGGAGGAGGATGAATGTGAGCGAAGAAGAGTATTATGAACTGAGGTGGCATTACTAGAAAAATATTTCCACCTTTTTTGAGATTCTGTTGGAATATCTTTTGGCCTTTTGATGGAATTGTTACTGCAAACTTCTCTAATTTACCTGTAATACTTGGTTCAAACAGAAATGATGTTAAAAGTACACAAGTGTTTTTTTATGCTTTATGGATTACCAGCTTACCACCCATGCTTTCTAAGATGAACTTTGAGTTTAATTACTAGCAACGGTATTTAGAAAAAAACTCTTGTGGGCCTTAGGATAGAAATATGGAATTTGTTGTATCAGCCTTTTAGCAAAGCTGGTTGTGTGGCTTGCACAACTTGTTTGAAGAAGAATTAGAAATGCCACCTATTACAGTTTAGTTATACTTCAATCAACTAGAAATGCCATCATTGTGATTTCTGGATATAATTTGGTTCTCCAATGGCTTGCCCCAGGTAGGGATGGACCCGGTCCGGTTCCAGTTCTGGACTGGGCTCGAGTGGGCTTTTTTCCCAAATACTTGGGCCCGGAACCGGCCCGGGTTGATACCGGGTCCGGGCCTAACCAGGCCGGGCCCGATTCAATGTTTTTTTGGCTTTCTTGTTATCCCCCGACCCCCCCTCACCCCCACCCCCCAAACCTCCCCAAAACACCCAGCCCTACCCTAGGAAAAGAAAAAAAAATGAAAAAAAAGTCTGGGCCCGGTTCGAATCGTCCGGGCCGATTCAACAAAAATGGGGCCTGAGCCTGGCCCGCACGACCCGCTAAAACGGGCTAAAAGCCCGGAACCGGTCAACCGGTCCCGGTCCGAGCCCGCACAGTAGCGGGCCGGTCCAGTTCCGGGCCGGTTCGGCCTGACCCAGTCCATCCCTAGCCCCAGGCCCCAGTTGGAGGTTTTTAGAGGAAAACTTTATTCCATGAATTTGTTTATTATCTTTTGTTAGATTTAAAATTTATCAACAATAAAGTTCATTACCATTGTCACTAAACAAGCTTAGAAGTTGACTTGTACTGTTAACTTCTACAAAACTATATTGAACTGTGGTTAACAATCCAAAAAACTTACAATTTTATAACTTAGAAGTGTTAAGTATCACTAGAAAGGGTCAAATAAATTCTTTTTCTAAGACACATATGCACATTTAACTTTAATCGCAAATTTGAAGAGAGGTACTTGTAAATTAAGATAAAAATAATATATGTTTGTATATATACTTAAATTATTTACTGTTATTTAATATTTAAATTATTTCATACATGCATGCTAATGTGTGTGTATTTTTCATACAAACACAAACACAATCTACCGTTTTACTACGTATCACTTGTCATATTTATACAAAAAAATTGATAAAAATACAATTTATGTGTATTTGACTAGTCTCCGCCTAGGGGCGGGACGCTGATCTTGTGTTCGAGTAGCGTCTAACGCCTTTTAGAACATTGGAAGGTAGTGCATTCATACTCGTGTTAGTAGCATGTCTACTACCTTCCCTTAATTTGTGTACCATGTAGCATGTCTTGGTGTATATTATGTCATGGTGCATTACTATGACATAAAAGCTACCTCGTGTAGCTAAAAACACATAAAGCTAGTTCGTGTATATTAATAGGGAGATTTCTCAAAATACGAGTACTTTGTTTTTATTCCCGAAATGGGACTAACATGAAAGTATTTACTGTCATCTTGTAACCGTGATTGCCAAATAGTTGCAGTACAATGCATTTAACATGACAGTATTTATTATAATTAATGACAATATTTTTCAATCATGACAGTATTTTTCATACATGACAGTAATAACTCCTATTTCGGGAAGAAAACCATATTAGTCCTATTTTTGGAATTCCAAATGTCATTTACTCCTATTTTGGATAATTTCCCATATTGATATGTTATGTCATGTTGCTTTGGATAAATTTTAATGCATTGTTGGCATTTTTTGAATCATTTGATCATAAAATGAATGCATCGTATTTATTACTTTACTTTTGATGAGATCGAAGTACACTTTTATTTGAAATCATCCATTTTTAAGTTTATTTTGAAAGTAACCTTAGAGTGCTATAACTAATTCCAGATAATAATTATTTAGTAAACACCACACCACATTACTGTTGGAAATATTGAGAGTATTTCAAATGAATAATACTTTATTAATCAATTTTATAAATTAAATTTTTTCATGTATTCTATTATTAAGTGAATGTATGTGAATTAAATAATTATTCTAAATGACAATGTTATGCATTGATTTGGTCCACTGAACATTATAACGGCAAGGCATTTGCTTTGAGGATTTTTTCAACATCAAAGTAATTTAATGCTCCTAACGTTAGCTTAATAAAGAAACATTAAAGTTTTTTTTTTAACATTGACCGTTTCTAATCTGGCCAGCAACGTTCTTGTTGCATGTGTGTATATATATGTTCGGCCATGCTAGTTGATTTGCGTAGATATAGAATATGTCGAGCTAAACATCCCCTAATATATTACAACTCTGCTGGATTAATATTATTCTACTCTCGTTGTTCTGTTACCGGCTTACGCCGAAGAGCTCGTTTTATCTTGGGGAAAGGTTTTCGCTAGTCGGAAATACTTTCTTGAGGACAGCGTTTACGCGACTCGAGCTATATTATTTTTCTAACGCTGTTTTGCAGGTTTATCCGGCCAATTTCCTCCAACAATCTCAAGAAAGTATTTGGCGTCGGATATGCCTGCACATATCATCTCACAAGGCGTTGCCGCCGCACTCATCAGGGCTATGTTATTTCTACTTGTGCGTTGCGAAGTAGGCTGTGATACACCCGCATGGGGACCCGTATAAATCGGATTAACGCTCAGAAAAGTCTTCTACGTATAATGGTTAGTCTCTCAACTTTCCTACTTACAATACGCCATACTTTAACACCACTTTTTAAAAAAAATGGTATTCCTTTTTAGTGATAAAATGACAACTATGAAAAACAACAAACCACTAAGATCAAGTTTAAACTTGGTTTGTAGTGATGATAATTTTATTGCGGTTGTTTCTCAAAGTTGTAAAACTAATGATGTGAATGAGTGGGTGGTAGACTCCGGGGCTACCAAGCATATTTGTAAAAACAAAAGTGATTTTACCTCCTATACTATTATAGGAGATGGTGAAGAGCTCGTGTACCTAGCGGACTCTAAAACCGTTAAGGTGAATGAAAAAGGGAAAGTTCTTCTGAAACTCACATCACGGAAAACTTTATCACTAAATGATGTGCTTCATGTGCCCAAGATTCGGACTAATTTGGTTTCCGTTTCTCTCTTGGGAAAAGTTGGGGTTAAAGTTTCTTTTGGTTGTGACAATTTTGTTATGACCAAAAATGACGTTTTTGTGGGAATTGACCATTGTAAGGATGGACATTTTGTGCTTAGTAATTTTAAAATGTTGCATGATGATGCTTCTGCGTACTTACATTATGTTAATTATTGTGTTATGTGATATAATAGATGTGACATTTTACATGGTAATTTTTTGTTGGTCTTTATTTTTGTTTGATTTATGAAACTCCTAAATATCTTAAGATTGATATTTAGTGATATGGGAGCAACTCTAGAAAATTATGATATAATTGATGAATTTATATAAATTTTATTAGAGCATCTACACTGTGTTTAGAAGTGGTAAAAAAAATCTTTGTCATATTTATTGATGATTTTTCGAGATAAACTAAATTTTATCTTATTTAAATTTAAAGGCGAGTTTTTGATAAAATCATTGTGTACAATTAAAGGTTGAGATATAAATTATCTCTCAATGAATTCTAGAAGGGCTATGCACCTGTTTTTAAATATTTAAAATTGTGGGGGTGCTTAGCTAAATTTTTATTACCTATTTCATTTAGTGAAAATGAGATTTATAACTCTTGCCACTTTTGCATAAATTGAAATAGTGGAGCATATATATGATTTTCTTAAAAGAAAGAAATAGTGTGCTAATGTGCAATGCTTTATGCTATATTATTGATGTTATTAATGTGACCGTTTTTGGAGAATGTGTACACACTAAATGATGCATGTATGATTATTTGTTTATACGTTGTTGAAACAAAAAAAATGCTGATTTTTTTGAGAATGCGTTTCCTTTGAAAATTGAACACAAGACCGTTGCGCCATATAGTGATTGTGATCCATTACAAGGAAATAAAACCTTTAATGATGAACCCTCTAGTGATAGTGATCCATTAAAAGAAAATTATTCTTTTAATGATGAACCTTCTCCTTTGAGAAGAAGTAAGAGGCCAAAGATAGAGAAATCCTTTAGAAATGATTTTTATTCATACCTTATTAATTTTATTAATGATGAACTTTTGACTTATTCACAAACTTTTTATTCATCAAATGGATATTAAAATTGCATTTTTAAATGGTGAACTAGAGGAAGAAATTTATATGGTGCAACCGGAAGGTCATGTAGTTACTGATTAGGAACACAAATGTGAAAATTTTGATGAAGTGTTATTCGCTTATGAGAAGTAGATATAAGTGTGAATACACTAAATGTGAAAATGGTGTGTGCATTATTATTTGCTTGTATGTGGATGATTTGTTAATTTTAGTGTGAAAGACTTGGGGTTAACAAAAATGATTTTGGGTATATATGAAAGTCACAAGGAAGGATGATGGTGTTGTACTATCTCAAGAGCATTATGCTGATAGACTTCTAAAGAGGTTTGGATATTTTAGTGTCACACCCGTGAGTATCCCTTATGACTTTCATATGCACTTAAAAAAAAGAGGTGATCGTGAGGCTCAATATGAGTATTGTCAAATTATTGGATGTTTATTACAGTTTATAAATTATACTAGGCCCGACATAGTTTGTATTGTCGGAAGATTGAGCCGATATACTCATGACCCAAGTAGGGATCATTGGACTGCGTTGAGGCGGTTATTGAGATATTTGAGAGGTACCATTAATTATGGTATTTTTTTGAGATTATCCGTTGTAATCTATTGACACAACGATGATACGTTTTATTGAGAAATATCCATTGTCCTAGAGCGGTACAATGATGTTATATGAGAATTATCAATTGTACTATAATGATACAATGATGGTATATATTTTATTGAAAGTAATCTGTTGTATTGCCGAGATACAACGACGACATCTGAGTATACTCAAATGAGATAAATTAAAATAGTGGATATCCATTCACCCTTAAAAATGGTGCAATGATGTTTGAGAATGGAATTATTTCCATTAATTTTGTGAAGTCAGAAGGAATTAGCTACTCCTTTGACAGAATCCCTAGGACGAAAAATGATAACCGAAACATCGAAGGAAATGGGACTAGTGTCACTTTGAAACAAATGGGGATGGGAACCCAACTTGTGTGATTGGAGATCCCATGAAGCAAGTTCATATGGGTAATAACAAGTCTTCCATTTAGTTCTGCTAGCCTAACTAAAATTACACATTTCCATGATGTGAGATATAGGCTAGAAACCGCATTCTTTGAGAGGGTGAGCTTAAAGCTCTTAATGATTATCATAGCCCTTAACTTAAGGATGGTGTGCAAAAGCGGTACACACTTGATGATATCACCTATATGAGTGTGAGGTGGGGCCGCCTCCATGAAGCATGACAAAACTTCTAGAGCACTCATGAAAACCAAGCACGCGCATGGCCTTACGGCGCACAACGGCGTAATAACGAGAAATTGTGCGGGGTGAGACACGACCGTTAAGACCCTGATTTACCAATAGTAGCTTGTTGGTTCAAGAAACTATACGTTTCACCAAAGGCTCGGTTTATTAAGACTTAATCGTCTCGGTTTGGTTCATAGTCTACGGACACCAAACTTAAAGTCACATTCCTTTAATCCAACAAAAAATTTTCTAAACTATTCATTTGAAATATGTGGGGGATTGTTGGAAATATTGAGAGTATTTCAAATGAATAATACTTTATTAATCAATTTTATAAATTAAATTTTTTCATGTATTCTATTATTAAGTGAATGTATGTGAATTAAATAATTATTCCAAATGACAATGTTATGCATTGATTTGGTCCACTGAACATTATAACGGCAAGGCATTTGCTTTGAGGATTTTTTCAACATCAAAGTAATTTAATGCTCCTAACGTTAGCTTAATAAAGAAACATTAAAGTTTTTTTTAACATTGACCGTTTCTAATCTGGCCAGCAACGTTCTTGTTGCATGTGTGTATATATATGTTCGGCCATGCTAGTTGATTTGCGTAGATATAGAATATGTTGAGCTAAACATTCCCTAATATATTACAACTCTGCTGGATTAATATTATTCTACTCTCGTTGTTCTGTTACCGGCTTACGCCGAAGAGCTCGTTTTATCTTGGGGAAATGTTTTCGCTAGTCGGAAATACTTTCTTGAGGACAACGTTTACGCGACTCGAGCTATATTATTTTTCTAACGCTGTTTTGCAGGTTTATCCGGCCAATTTCCCATATTAATATGTTATGTCATGTTCCTTTGGATAAATTTTAATGCATTGTTGGCATTTTTTGAATCATTTGATCATAAAATGAATGCATCGTATTTATTACTTCACTTTTGATGAGATCGAAGTACACTTTTATTTGAAATCATCCATTTTTAAGTTTATTTTGAAAGTAACCTTAGAGTGCTATAACTAATTCCAGATAATAATTATTTAGTGAACACCACACCACATTACAAGTGCATAAACGCACAGGCACGACTTTATTCTCCATGCTAACTTCCAATCTTTAAAATATTCCGCTAGTGCGCTGCTTGCTTTGAGAGAGCTAAATAACTTTTTTTATATAATTGTTTTAACCTTTTCATTTTTACTCTAACTTTTACAAAAAAATATACTACCTCCATTCCCATTTTAACTTCCAAATGGGTTTGGCACAAAGTTTAAGATAGTGGATATTGTGTGGTGGAGAGTTGTGCAGAGGAGAGAGAAATGTGTAAGAAATATTGTGAACCACAAATTCTTTACCAAAAAGAGAAAGTGGAAGTTTTAATTGGAACGGACGAAAAAGGAAAGTTGGAAGTTTATTTAGGAACGGAGGGAGTATCAAAATTCATCATTTTTTATGATCTTTCATATTCTAAGCTATCACTCCAGATTAATAGTTTGCACGGTAAATAAAGATCCTAAACCGTGCACATTAATCAAATTTATTATTTTATTTTTATATATACAATATTGCTGTCATATGAATGATAATGAAAAATTGTGGATTGTGATATATTTTTTGTAACAATTGGAGTACAAATAAAAAATTATATCACTTTAATAAACAAATGTTTTTAAAGTGTTTTTTTATATTTATATATGAAAGATAATAAAAAGAGATGATTTTGATATATTTTTTGTAATAATTGAAGTACAAATACAAAAGATACAACACTTTAAAAAATGTTTTCTTAAAGTGCTAAATTATCATTGTGAATTGTGATATTCTTTTTGTAACAATCTCAGTACAAATAAAAAATATCACTTCAAAAATAGATGTTTTTAAAGTGTTATTTTATTATATTTTTATATGAAATATTGGTGTCATATGAAAGATAATAAAAAGTTTTAATTTTGATATATTTTGTAACCATTGAAGTACAAATGATAAAGTTGCAACACTTTAAAAATAAATGTTTTTATAAATACTATTTGCAGTGTAAAAATCTTAGGAAACAACAATGTGTTATTTTCTTTTCATTTTTGAACACAAACGTCACAATGTTCAAAATAATGTCAATATTACTGAATGTTATAGCACCATATCGGTACAAATATGAAACTTTGCATATGAATATCATCCGGGAAAATAATTAGAGAATTGACATCACTATCCTTTTGATAAACTTTTAGATTTTAAAGTTTGATGAATATACACTTGATAGAGTAAATGAGTAATTGTCTTAGATTCTAGAGAGAAGTGAGAGCTAGAGAGAGAAGTGCAAGATATGCTTCAATAGAATGAATTTTGTGAACCCCTACAACTACTCCCAAGGGGAGTATTTATAGAGAAAATACGGGCTGGGCTCCCAAGCCTTGGGCTTGGGAGGCCCATTTACAACTGGACCGCTACTGGGCCGAGATACAAAGTGATAAGAATGATTAAGTATGAAATCTGGTTCTGTGAGGTCTTCGTGGCCGACGAGGGCGTGGCCGACGAGGGCACCCGGGTTCCTTGGCTTCAGGACCATATTCTGAGTTGGTACCTTTCCGGCCGACGGGGGTCCCTTGGCCGACGAGGGCACCACTCAGTGTCTTGTGCTTTCTGTTCTTCTGAGTATGTGGGTCCTGGGGCTCAGACCCATATACTCCATCAACACTAATGTACATTCTCAACATCACAAATCTAACAATTACGAGTAAGATATTATTATAAATAAAGTTATTCATATTCAATCCAATTTTTGACGTTTCATAATAGTAATACTCCATCCGTCCCATTTAAAGGTTCAATTCCCGTCCACTATTCTTCGGTCAACGTGATTTGTTCTTAATATTTTACTTTATATATTCAATGTTTATCAAATTTAATTTTTTTCATCAAGATTTATAAAACTTTTAATGTAGTTTCTGAATATATAAATTTTATTTACTAAAAATCATTGTTAAAGTTTAGCCGCGTAGATCCGAAAGCCCAACATAAACTTCGGATATTAAGGACGATGGATTCGGTATAAAAACAAATAAATATATAAAAGTGTATGAACTAGCTATTTTTACGTGGAAACCCGGAAAGAGGAGAAAACCACGGGACTTTTTATGCTAACGTCTAAGCCCGCTCTTTCTCATTATTACCCTCCTCACCATTTACATAGTACAAATATCATGGAACCCCATTAATGGAGTAGTGTTACTAAGCTAAGAAGAAGAAGGGAAGTTCCCTGGGAGAGAAGAACCAAAAAGTCCATCCTTTACATGGAAGCAAGGCTTCCTATTTATAGAAGGGGGGTGGGGTTTACTCTTATGGGCCAACGGGCCGGTTGGGCCTTAATGGGCCTAATTCCTATCCTAGTGGGCCGATTGGACCTTAATGGGCCTAATTCCTATCCTAGCGGGCCGGTTAGGCCGAAACGGGCTGGGCAGGCCTAAATTGGCCTTGCTGACCGGGCTTCATTCCGGGTGATGACTTGGGCCTTTGAACAGTAGTAGGTCGGGATAATATTCCCCAACACAAGTCCCCCAGTTTCTTGAGTAGTGAGCCTGTGAATCTACTCGAGAAAGTATACTCTTGCTCACGTCCCTCCTTGCCTTTCTTGAATCGGCGTCTTCGAATAGTCTCGGACGCAAGGTATGCATAAGTGACAGGTGAGGTGTAGCCCCCACACTAGGCACGATGGCGCTGTAGAGCCAGCCGCTCGTGCTGCATAAAAGTGACGGTCGACATCCTAGATTAAGAACCGACGAGCCCGATAAAAAAGAAGGCACGACGGCGCTGATGAGCCAGCCGTTCGTGCTGCATAAAGCGGCGATCGTCATCCTAGATCAAGGATGGACGAGCCCGACCGAGAGTCAGGCACGACGGTGCTCTGGAGCCTGTTCGTGCTGCATAAAAGCGACGGTCGTCATCCTAGATCAAGGATGGATGAGCCCGACCGAGAGTAAGGCACGACGGTGCTGTGGAGCCTGTTCGTGCTGCATAAAAAATGGTCTTTGCTGTGATATGGACTTACGATGCCATGGTCATTGCCATGGTCCTTATATTGCCATAGTCGAAAGGAATGGACCTGACTCAACTCCGATAGACGTGGACCTGACTCGACTCGGCTTGACCTTGACAAACATGGACTCGACTCGACTCAACTCGACAAACATGGACTCGACTCGACAAACATAGACTCGACTCGACTCGCCATCCTCCAATACCATAGTTCCGATGATCCAGGCCACCCATACTAAAGACAGAAGGCAGTTTCTGATGATCCGGCGCAGGCTGGCGGTTCTCAATCTCTATCTTCCCCGATCAGGGATCATTCAGTAGCATAATATTTTGCCCGAGTTGTATTACTCTTGATTTCTTTTGTACTTTCCGGCGAGTAGTGTTGAAGAATAAAACTCGATTCTTTCCCCAATCTTGCTATTTCATTGTTTTTTGTATCTTCCAATCCTGAACTCCCGGTTCCTTCATATTTAGGGTTACCAAGCGTGGCTCGGTTTGTCCATACTTACAGTTTTGACATCATCTCCAAGCTGTTTTGATTGGGTCAAATTCTGTTAGCTGAGATAATGGCTCCCTCCAAACTGTTAACCCGTTCATCACTCGGTCATCCGGAATGATTTCAGGTGTTAAAAGCTGAGGTGAGACTCTCATAGTTCTGACATCCTCTCCAAGCCGTTTTGATCGGGTCAAATTCTGTTAGCTGAGATGATGGCTCCCTCCAAACTGTTAACACGTTCGTCATTCGGCCATCTAGAATGATTTGACGTGTTAAAAGCTGAGGTGAGACTCCATATTTTCCAAACCCAAAATTCTGATGTAGTCCGTCCGGTTTTTTCCGATCCGAATCATCCTTATTAGGGGTTTGAGATGACCATCTTCAAGTTATAAGTCAGATCCACGGATCGGATCATATCTTACCTATAGCTAAAATGGCGACTCACTTCCAAATCAAGTTAACGACTGAGGCGAGATTTTAAAACCATAGTTCTGATCCCCCGGACGACAATCCATGTTACCGAACGTCGCTCAGCTCGTCCATACTTATGGTTTTTACACCATCTCCAAGCCGTTTTGATCCCTTTATCCGTTCGTAAGCATAGGGTCAAATTCTGATAGCTGAGATGATGGCTCCCTCCAAACTGTTAACATGTTCATCATTCGGTCATCCGGAATGATTCTACATGTTAAAAGCTGAGATGAGACTCTCAATGTTAACGTTCGGTTCTTCTATACTAACAGTCAAAGTGACAATTGGGGAGCCCTGAATTCCTTATCTCTCTCTTTTTTAATACAAGGACTCTATTAATGATGATCACATCGTGCCGGGGTGGCCGATTGTGAAGGTATAGAAGTAGTCAATGATGATCCGAACAATAAGTCTCCCTCCGTGGATTATGGAGTTGTTAACCGCTGAGACTCTCAATGATGATCACGTCGTGCCGGGGTGGCCGATCGTAATCAAGAATGTCTGAGGGTCTTGCAGGCGCCCCCTGCCCGTGATGCTTGATCTAGATGACGAATGGTGGGGTCGGATTGCTAGTCATGGAGTTCTCTGGACTCTTTATCTCCTATTCTGAATTCTCTATCCCGTTTCTGAATTCTTTATCTTCTTTTCTGAATCTTGAACGGCTCCGAACGGTATCTCGTAGGACTTCTTTCCTGGTATCTTTTTCTTTATTTTTTTCATCATGAACGTCTCTATGCTTCGTGATCTCCCCATTCGAGCTGACCGAACGACTTTACCTGAATCTCTTTATGTTGCCAGTCACGAACGTCTCTGCGCTTCGTGATCTCCCTGTTCGAGCTGACCGAACGACTTTGCTTGAATCGCTTTACGTTGCCAGTCACGAACATCTTCGCGCTTCGTGATTTCCCCGTTTGAGCTGACCGAACGGCTTTGCTTCTCTTCTTTGCCGGTCATGAATGTGTCTGCACTTCATGTCGAACGTTACTGATCTCCCCGATCAAACATATCGAACGGCCTTTCATGTTTGTACTTCATTTCCTTGTCGGTCATGAACGTCTCCGCGCTTCATGCCAACATCATGGATCTCCCAGCTCGAACATATCGAACGGATTCCACTACACAATAAGCATAGTAATACGGCCGTACGGCCGACAACATACACAAGTATATGCAATCATACATGTATAACATTTTCCTTTTAATTTTTATTTTTCATTCATGACTACTGGCTGAAGCGGTAATCATCACCTTTGGCCTAGATTTTCTTCTCGAACTGCAACATAAACTATGCAATCCGCCCCGTACTGGGTGCAATTATCGTTCGGGCATTTAATGCCGATCAGGATCATGAATGTTTCCAAAATCAAGATACGTCACCGGGTTACGCCCTTGCGAGACGCTTCGGTCAATTCATTAAGGCTGGTCGGGAGTGGATCGATCGACCACTCAAACCAAGCATTTAATTAAAACGTTAGTGACCCTATTTATAAAGCTTTGTTTAGCATTAAATAATGGCGATGTGTAATAAAATAGTAATATTACTACATCATTTCACTAAATATTTTTGTGGATGTACCGTTAGTACCGAACAAGCCCATGGGTGGCATCTATGACACTCCGACCGTTATTTCAGGCCGATCGGGTAATCCAACGACCCTTAAAATTATTCACTTAATTTAGAAATGACGGTGAACTTATCACCCGAGCTTAGCTCCACATTATTAAGATCGGGTTGCCTTCAACCCTAATTAACAATGGTGATAAAAGCAATAATAGCCATGAAAACTATCTCAAATTGAAACAGATGGTGAAAGAATGATGTTACTTAGCTGAAATAGGCTGAGTATCAGCTGCGAGGCCAAGTTATTGGCCCTGAGATTTTAATTGGTTGATGAAGAAGTGATCCAGGCCAGTGGAATAGTAACGCATCCCCATGGCAAGTTCAACAGTTGCTTTCATAAGCAAGGAAACTTATCAACTTCACTCCAGTTTGAGATGCTTAGTAGCCCAGCCCGTTAACAACCTAGCCCAACTGCTTATAACTTGATCCAACTACTGCTTTAATTCTCTCCAGATGTAGCCCCCATCATCGGGAACCCATGATAAAATGCTTATCTTCATCGAGGGCTATCCCGTACGGGAGTGCATGGAGGTCCCAGATCAAAAGGCTGGCTGATTCAGGTTACCCATACTTGTTGCCGGATGATTCAACGTGTCTCGTTAGGGAGCCTATGTGGAAACTCGTGCTCGAGGTGGTTTCCTTCCTCCTAGTGGTAAGTTTGGCAACAATGGCCGATCAATACCAAGGACGAGTAACATAGCTCTGGTGTGGACTGTCGGACTTGATTGCCATTCGGCAAGACACAACCCATCCAATAAGGAGATGCCAGACGGGATAACGCAGGACTTGACGCTGCCGGACGGGATGATGCCAGACGGGATGATGCCGGATGGGATGACGGAGGGGGTGATCGGCTGAGAGAAGCTGATAACGTCGAGTACTATGCCGCCCTGGTCCCGATCGGTGATAATGTCTGGAGGCGGCCTGAGCTGGGTGGCCATTGGTTTTGCTGAAAAAGTCAAATCAGCAACCTTCCTATATTTCCCGGTCCATATCCTCGCTCATGGAGAGGGCCTCCCCGTGCATGCATACTCGCGATCAATATGTCGGGCTGGTGTGGTGGAGTGATATGGACACGGATCAACCGTGATTGCCGATTAATGGAACGACCGGTTGGTCTAGCATACCGGATTGTCGGTGCAAGGCAGGGGATGCATGCCGGGCGGTGGGTTGTGCTCCCTTATCACATCCTCGACCAGGTTGGTACTAAGATAGAAAGTTTCAGTACTCTGGTCAGCGCATGAGGTGATGGATTCCAGAGCTCCCTGTTCGATGCAGGATGTTGCATGCTACTTGGGAACCCATCGGTACACTGGGAGTTAACTGATGGTCACGCAGACTCTGTTCGACCTTATCAACACGTTCGGGATTGGTTCCAAGTTAATAGGAGGAATGCCCTGGGGCTAGCCTCTCCCCATCCCAGGGTTGAGCACCAGTTTACAGGGGAAGTGCAAGGGAGGGTGTTCGGGAACTCTCGTTCAACGTTCGGGATGTTGTGCTCAATTTTTGGATAACCACAAATCTGTCAAATCACCCACTTGTTGTGTCAAGTGTCCCACGTGAGGGTGGGAATTCTTCTGTATTGTCAGGCCAGTGGGCTCGCGGGTCCCACACATCTTTGATAACAAAAAAGCCATGGTTGGCTCGCAGACCTCCTTTTGGCCTTCTGCTTTCTCCCTTTGAGGAACAGTTTGTTTTTTTTAGCATCAATTTTTCTTCCTTCTCATGCTGGAATCAGTTCTTCTTCGAATCAAAATTAATAAAATCAAGAACACGTTGTCACGCTTTTTGATAGTTTCCCACAGACGACGCCAATGTTGAAGTTTAGTCCCGTAGATCCGAAAGCCCAACATAAACTTCGGATATTAAGGACAATGGATTCGGTATAAAAACAAATAAATATATAAAAGTGTATGAACTAGCTATTTTTACGTGGAAATCCGAAAAGGAGAGAAAACCACAGGACTTTTTAGGCTAACGTCCAAGCCCGCTCTTTATCATTATTACCCTCATCACCATTTACATAGTACAAATATCATGGAACTCCATTAATGCACTACTGTTGCTAAGCTAAGAAGAAGAAAAAGGGAAATTCCCTGGGAGACAAGAACCAAAAAGTCCATCCTTTACATGGAAGCAATGCTTCCTATTTATAGAAGGGGGTGGGGTTTTACTCTTATGGGCCAGCGGGCCGGTTGGGCCTTAATGGGCCTAATTCCTATCCTCGCGGGACGGTTGGGCCTTAATGGGCCTAATTCCTATCCTAGCGGGCCGGTTAGGCCGAAACGGGCCGGGCAGGCCTAAATGGGCCTTGCTGATCGGGCTTCATATCGGGTGATGACTTAGGCCTCTGAACAGTAGTAGACTGAGATAATATTTTCCAACAATCATCTTATTAATGACAGAGATTAGTTAACTTTATGGTCAGTCAAACAATCGTAAATCGCATGGGAACCATTAAGTGAGACGAAAAGAGTAATTGATTTTAATAAATAAAGAAATTGAGATAATTAAAGTCATTTTTACCGAAATTTAAATAGACCTTAATGTGGATCGTTACGCTTACGCTACACTAAAAGCAATCACTGATAGTGTAGCACGCCCCTCCCCCTCTATAGCACAAGCGAAGCGTCACGCGGTTTGATTGCACCGGCAGGCTGGCAGATTGCTGGCACCGCATACCTGCGGCCCAACAATCTCCCCTAGCACCTGCCAGCCTCAACTGCGCAGCATGCTGTTGCCGGGGGTCGAACCTGTGACCTTGGCTCTGATACCACTTGTGGATCGTTGCACTTACCGCGACACTAAAAACAATCGTTGATAGTGTAGCACGTCCCTCCCCCTTTATAGCACAAGCGAAGCGCCGCACGGTACGATTGCACCGGCAGGCTGGCAGATTGGTGGCACCACATACCTGCGGTCCAACACTTACTGTAGCCCCATCATGAAGATTTACTCGGTCAACCCCCTATTCATTTGTGTGTGTTTGACACCTCACACAAGTAATCACTACTATTAGAGAATCTATCACATAATTATGGACTTCATCATATACAATGTTCATACACATATTTGATTGGTTCTCCACAATCATGTAAAACATATATTTCAATTGAGAATGTGGGGCGGATGCAACTCTATCTTTATAGCATTATATGTCACTATTATCTAATTATTAGTATAGTATGTGACATTTCACAAAGGTAGATTTCAACTTCAATATGGTTAGTAACAGCTGTAGTGAGAGAATTTTTCTCTTATATGTAGTAGTATTTGGTAATATCTATGTCTCATTGAAAGGATCCCATGATAAAACGACACATTTATTTAGATAATAATTAAATAAGGTAATTCGAGTATATTTTGAGAAATAATTTTAATAGATGTATAATATAATGGGGTTAATGTTGGTAACTGTGATGTTATAAATGTATTATTTTTAATTTTAATGATTAATTTGTCATTTAAGATTCTTAAGTATTTTCTTAAAATGGAAACGAGAACCTTTATATAGGACGTTCAAAAAAGGAAAGTGGGGACCTTTCCATGGAGGTAGTGATTTTAGGTATAAGATAAATAGATAAGCGGACTCGTAAGTGAGGAGAGCATTTTCTCTTACATATGTAGAACTTTGAAGTATATGATAAACAAACTAATAATTTAGCAAACAGATTTCGTCTCTCATATGTATTGTTTTAGGTATAAGATAAACAGACTAATAAGTGAGTGATTTTTTTATCTCTCATATGTAGTGCTTTTAGGTATAAGATAAACAGACTAATAATTGAGCGGGAGATTTCTCTTTCTCATATGTAGTGTTATTTGGTATAACAAGATAAACGAACTTACAATTGAGCGGGAGAATTTCTTCTCTCAAATGTAGTGTTTTTTAGTATAAGATGAACAGACTAATAATTGAGAGGAAGAATTTTCCTTTTCATACGTAGTGCTTTTAAATATAAGAACATAAGTGGACTAATACTTGAGCGCAATAATGTTCTCTCTTATATGTACTTATGTAGTGCTTTTAATTATAAGATAAAAATAATAATAATTGTGCGGATGAATTTTCTCTCTCAAATGTAATTTTTTTGGTATCAGATAAGCGGACTAATATTTGTGCGTGAGAATTTCTCTATCTTATATGTAGTGTTTTTAGGTATAATTGAGCACGGTAATTACCTCTTTCATATGTATTGCTTTAATTATAAGAATTTTCTCTCTCATACTAGTGCTTTTATGTGTAAAGAAGATGAGCGGACTAATAGTTGAGCGGAATAATTTGGTCTGTAATATGTAGTGCTTTTAGGTACGTAGTATAAGATAATTTGCGTAATAATTGAACGGGAGAATTTTCTCCCTCATATATAGTATTTTTAGGTATAAGATAAGCGGACTGATAATTAAGGCATTAGAGCTGGAGAATTTCCTCTCTTATGTGTAGTGCCTTTAAGTATAAAAAAAATAAGATAAGTGGACTAATTGTTGAGCGGGAGAATTTTTCCACTGACACATAATGATTTTAGGTATAGGAAGATAAGGGAACTAAATTGAACAAGAATATTTTCCTACAAAGCACGAAGAGGATTTTACTTTAATTTTCTTTTACTTTGAATATTTGTTGTATGAGTTTATGCTTTATTCACTTATCTTTCTCTATTTTTGAAATGATGTAAAATTGTAAAAAAAAAAAGAATCTATTTTTATATTGAAAGAATGACACTAATATTACTTCACAGCTTCTATTGGACAAAAATATCACCACTTTTTCAAAAGACACAAAAGTGACCCCTGACCCGCTGCCTTTTCCGCTTCATCTTCCCTCTTCCGCACATTACCTTCCGCTTCATCTTCTCTGTTCCGCCCTCACTTCTCAGTCGGCCTTCAAACTACCTCGCAGACTCCATCTCCGGCGCAATCCACCTTCACGATGGTAGGACCTCTGCCCTCAGCTTCTTCAACGACAGCGGCACTGCCTGGGTTCTCCTTTTTCCTCGATGGCCGCCCCTCCCATGGATGAGGACTTTGATTTAAGACCTCCAGTTCCGGATCCGCCTTCTTCAATGGTAGACGACTCCGATTGGGGGCCAGATCTGCCATCCTATTGATTCTGCTTTCCTCAAATGAAGACATACAGCTTGACCTCGACTCCGATTTGGTGCGGCGGGTCCCGGATCCGCTGTCATGGTGGTCGGAAAGGGGCCTGAGGGAACAACAGGGGGCTGGACAATGGAGGGGGTTGGGGAGTAGGGTGCTGGACTGCTGGGAACTGGGTGGGGGCCTGGTGTGTAGGTTGGGGCTTAAACGGGAGAAAGGTGTTAGATCGAGACTGGAGAGGGGAGATTGGGGGCAGGTCAAGGGTGGGGATCTGGTGCGTGTTGCCACTGTGAAGGGTGCTGATTATGGGGTTGTGATAGGGGAAGGGAGGGGCTGGTGCTAGCTGGGGAGGGCACAGGCGGGGCTGGGGCCGGTGGTCGCCGGTGGTCACCGTGGTGGTGTCACTGCAGTGGCGTCACCATGCATACCGCGTCACTATGACGGCATCACTATGGTCGTTGTCACTATGGCCGTTGTAACTATGGTCGTTGTCACTAATCACTATGGCCGGCGATGGTCTCCGGCGGCGGTCTCCAGCGGTGGCGGTCACCGGTGGGAGGTGGTGGGAAGGGGTGGTGGATGTAACTGTTTCTCGTGTCACTGTAACGTGTCACTGTAGCAGTAGGTATATAAGTAAGCTTGTCACTTATTAATCACATTTCTGGAATTTAAAAAAAAGGTCACTTTTTTGTCAATTGCCCTTTTATTAGTAATATTCAAGGCAAAACCCCTTTTATATTTAATCGTATGGTGAATAAAAATATACACAAATCAACTATTTTTCACGTGCGAATGCACACGTATTGTGCTAGTTACCCTTACAAAAATGGTACAATTAAAAAGAAAAACGACCCAACAAGCACGGATGTGTGAATCAGTAAAGGGTGTTGCTACAGGCATCCTTTAAATTACTTAATGTAACCTCGATTTGGCTACATTATCCTTTTAAAAAATTTGATTAGAAATTTCGATCCTCATTTCCATACTATAATCGAATTGCCTTCAAAAATTTTGTGTTTTGATTTTGCTCCGCACACCACGCACCCCTCATTTGTGTTTGATTTTGATTTTTATATATAAAGTTTCAGATAATAGTCCTAAAATAAGACATAACTAATTCCTAAATACACAAATAGGACCATGTTATTTATCTTCCCAAAACAGGACTAAAGTATAGCTTATCTTCCCATTCTACCCTTACCATAACTGAATAGGATAATCATGTTTTAATTTGTAATAATACAAAAAATAATAATTTAACTTATAAAAAAATTGTAAAAACATTTAAAACAAATTAAAAAAATACTAAAATAATAAAAAATAAAAATAAAAAAAAATAAAAAAAGTTTAAAAATTAATAATAAATAAATAAAACACCTTAAAAATATAAAACAATGTGGAGGATTTTTCCACAACCTCAGCCATCGCCTAGCAATGTTACCTTTTATTGGCTACAAAATGTCATTTTGTGTAAAAACTGCTACTCCAGTGATCGGAGTTGGTCGTGTTGGGAGGTTATTGAGGTAGCAGCATAGACCTCATATATTTTCTTTTTACATTTTTTTATTAATTTTATATTAGCTTTATAAATGTTTTTATATTATAATTTTTTATTTTTAGATTTTTTTATTTTTATTAATTTATTTAATATTTTTTTACATTTTTATTATAGATCAAGTCATTTTATTACTTTTATATTTTAATTATTAATGAAATATGAATTTTATTAAAACAAAGCAAGTGTAGAATTGGAAAGCTAGCCCTATTTAGAGATTTTTTTAGTTATGGTCCTATTTTGTCAATTAAAGTTTCATTTAGTCTTATTTGAGGAATTTTCCCATAAAATTTAAAAAAATATTTTTATTCTGGTGTGATGTATTTAAACATGGTCCAATAAATCTCCGGTGGAAATGTATTTCACTATCATCTAAGGGAGACTTGGTCTAACTTGATATGTTTGAGTCTCATAAAATCTAATCTGCTCTATTTAAGTTTGACCAGATCTGAGTCT